GAATTTCTAAATTTAATCTTATAATTATTAAAGCGTAAGAAATTTAAATATTACTTATTAAGAACTTGTTTACTCTATTAAATATATCTTTTTATATAAGCTTAGATAGTTAAATAATAATAATTTTAATAAATTTCGAAACTATTTTATTTCGTTCTCGATTTAAATCTATAAATCTCTATTACGTTTTCGATATAGCGTGAGAAATCTTACTAGCGTAACTTAATATATCGCTTTCTTTTCTTTCTTCGAGAACGTTTATAGCTTTAGCTTAATAATTCAATTAATTACAATTAGAATTAAGAAACATCTTTCCCTTCTTCGTAAAACTCCTTTTTAGAAGTATATATATGCTTCTTACACAGTATCTCTAATAATATCTCTCGCTAAAAAATCGTAAAATCGTAAAATCGTAAAATTAATAAAAATTCTATAAGTAATAAAAATAATAATAGAAGAAAATTATAAAAATAGATTATATTAGATATTAAAATTAACTTCTTATTAATTAAATTAAATTAAATTTAAATTTAATTAGCTCTCTATAAACTTATTATTAATATAAGTTTTTTTCTTCTATTAAAATCTTTTAATTTCTTTTTTAAAATAAGGAAAATATAACTTACGCTTTTAAATAATTTAAAAACTATAAGATTCGATCTTATAGTTTTAAGTAAATCTTAAATTAAAGTATTTTTACTCTTCGAGAGTTAAATTTAATATCGAAATTAGATTTAAAAATTAATTACTTTTTATAAATTTAATTTATAAGCTTAAATTTATTAGTATATATAATAGAATAAGATAGAGTTAAGTTTAAAAATCTTAAATTTATATATATAGTTAATTATAAATTTAGATTCGCTACGCTCTTTAATTAAATCGACTAAATTAATCTAATAACTCTCTTACGCCTTTCTTATTAAAAGTTTATATATAGAAATTTTATACTTTAAAGTATTTAGCTTACGATATATATAGTTACTTTATAATATCTTAAATTATAAAACTCGCTTTATACTTTTTAACGTTATAAAAATTATAAAGTTTAATCTACTATTTATAGAGCGAAGTAGTATTTAAATATAGTTATATATAACTTATTTAAGATTAAATAATTCTTTTATTTATTTATAAGTAAAGACCTATGAATTAAATTTATAAAGTTAAATTTTTCTAAGTTAAATCGAATTTTAGCTCTAGCTCTAAGTTAAATCGAACTCTAATCGCTTACTATACGTTTTTAATCTACTTTTATTACTATAAAATTAATTTAATCTATATAATATATAAATATATATATATAAAGAGAGGCGCGCTAAGACTTAATTAGAAAGATATATCGAGTATAGAGAATTAATCTATAATAATTATTTATAAAAAATAGAGAAAGATTATATTCTTATAATAAGAAGTATTAAAATATCGAAAAGAAATAAAGATAATATATTAATTAGTAATGTAAATTTCATATTATCTTCTATCGTAGTAAAATCTTTTAAATAATAAAATAGCTATTAGAGTAAGATATCGAACGATTTTAATTTATTTAAATATATATTATTTAATATTTCTTTTATAGAGATCTAATTAGCTATAATTATCGTAGTAAATTCTTCTCTTATAATATTATTACAAGTAAAGATCTATGAATTAAATTTATAAAGTTGAATTTTTCTAAGTTAGATCGAATTTTAGCTCTAGTTCTAAGTTAAATCGAACTCTAATCGCTTACTATACGTTTTTAACCTACTTTCACTATTATAAAATTAATTTAATCTATATGATATACAGATATATATATACGGAGAGAGGCGCGCTAAGGCCTAATTAGGAAGGTATATCGAGTGTGGAGGATTAATCCGTAATAATTGCCTATAAAAAATAGAGAAAGGCCATGTCCTTATGGCAAGAAGTATCGAAATACCGGAAAGAAATGGAGACAACGTGCCAATTAGTGGTGTGAATCCCACAATATCTCCTGCCGCAGTGAAATCTTTCGAATAATGAAATAGCTGTAGACATCGGACGGTTTCAATTCGTCCAAATATGCATCGTTCGATATTCCTCCTGCAGAGGCCCAAGTTATTGCAGTGATATACCATATTAATGCAGTGGGGATGACAGGCCAAGTTGCAGTGGTGTTCTCCGCTTGCTGAGTGATGATTTGATGTGGAACCGTGGAGAGCATATGACGTGGGATCTTGGAGAGCTGAGCCGTGTTCTTGACGATGGTGGCCTTGTTGCCGCTTGGTTTCTCCGCAGTATTCTCCATAGTGTTCTCCGCAGTATTCTCCATAGTGTTCTCCGCAGTGTTCTCCGCATTTGCCTGTTGTAGTTCCTCCTCTTACTCCTTAATGCAGTGGGGATGACAGGCTAAGTTGCAGTGGTGTTCTCCGCTTGCTGAGTGATGATTTGATGTGGAACCGTGGAGAGCATATGACGTGGGATCTTTTGGTGCTGGGGGCCTTGTTGCCGCTTGGTTTCTCCGCAGTGTTCTCCGCATTTGCCTGTTGTAGTTCCTCCTCTTGCTCCTCCTCTTATAGAGTATCAGACTGAGTGGCTAGCTGAGTGGCTGACTGAGTGGATGACTGAGTGGATTGCTGAGCTGATAGGGTAGGTAGTGTTGACTGAGCGGCTGGTCGAGTACCGCTGGCTTGGGAGGAGTATATAGGGGAGGACGATGGCTGTGAATCCGTTCGGGCTCTTTTTGAGGGCCTTTCAACGCGTTTATGAGTAGTAGTAGGTAGCTGTTGGGCTCGCTTATGGCCTCGATTGCCAGCAGTAGCGGATTCGTCGAGGGGTGGCCTGAGGGCGTTAGTAAGGGGTTTAAAAGACGGGCGGAAGGGATACGTAGCAACATTTGGGCGAGGGGTATCGAGGATGAATGTGTTCATATTGGTAAATTGGTAGAATGGTGGAAGAAGAATAGTTCCACAAATAGGTGGAAGGATTATTATCCGATCCCGGACGCGTCTGGTGTGATTATCATATTTGAATGTTAATTTAATCCACCAATAGTAGGCTAAACTTCATCATTTTTACATCGTTAGAAAGCGTATACTAAACTCTATAATTTAAGAAATTATAAAGTAATAGTATTCTTAGAGAGCTGGTTATTTCAGAGTGTAAAGCTTCTATATATAGATTTTTATAGATTTTTAATAATTATAAACGCTAATTTATTTATCCGCGATATCTAATTAAAAAGCGTAGATCTAACGAATTTATAATTGACTATATATATAAATTCAAGGTTTTCTAATTTAGCTCTACCTTATTCTTTTATATATATTAATAATAATATATTATATTAATATAATAGAGATAATAAGTAAAGATCTATAAATTAAATTTATAGAGTTAAATTTTTCTAAGTTAAATCGAATTTTAATTTTAATTCTAAGTTAAATCGAACTCTAATCGCTTACTATACGTTTTTAATTTATATATAAATATATATATACGAAGAGAGACGCGCTAAGATCTAATTAGAAAGATATATTAAGTATAAAGAATTAATTATTCTTATAATAAGAAGTATCGAAATATCGAAAAGAAATAAAGATAATATATTAATTAGTAATATAAATCTCATATTATCTTCTATCGTAGTAAAATCTTTCGAATAATAAAATAGCTATTAGAGTAAGATATCGAACGATTTTAATTTATTTAAATATATATCGTTCGATATTTCTTCTATAGAGACTTAATTAACTATAATCGTCGTAGTAGATTCTTCTCTTATAACGTTATTATAGTAATACGAGTAAAGGCCTATAAATTAAATTCATAATCATTTTTTTAATCAGGGCTATCGAGTAAATAGGTGAGCGATCTTTGATAAGCGAACTTTGGTGAGCGGGCTGTCCGGCTGTCGAGCGAACTTTGGTGAGCGATATTTGAATTCCTTGCGCTTTAATAATTATAAGACTAAATTTGAAAATTCTTTTTTTCTTTGAAAGCCCACATTTCGTTCTATAATTAAAAAAAAAAATCTTAAAATTTTAATAGAAAACAAAAAAGGTATTCTATGTGTCAATAATGTACACCTATTTTTTTGATAAGGGAGGCGCGGGAGGGCGAGATTTTGATGGTTGCGGACGCTAATTTATTTACCCGCGATGACTCAGCCGGTCTAATCAAAGAGCGTAGCGAACCCGAATTTATAATTGGCTGCACATACAAATTCAAGGTTTTCAAGCTCAGCCCTACCTTATTAGTATATATAAAAGAATAAGGTAGGGCTGAACTAGAAAAACCTTGAATTTATATGTGCAGCCAATCATAAATTCGTTAGGTCTACGCTTTTTAGTTAGACACCGCGGATAAATAAATTAGCGTCCGCAACCATCAAAAATCTACAAAAATCTATGTGCAGAAGTTTTACACTCTGAAATAACCAGCTCCCTACGGATACTGTTTCTTCATAATTTGGTAAATTGTAGAGCTCAGTGTGCGCTTTCTAACGCTGTAAAAATAATGAAGTTTGGCCTACTATTGGTGGATTAAATGGATATTCAAATATGATAGTCATGGTAGTCACACCAGACGCGTCCGGGATCGGATAATAATCCTTCCACCTGTTTGTGTAACCATATTTCTTCTACAATTCTACCAATCCATCAATTATGAATACATCCTCGATACCCCTCGCCCAAATGTTGCTAAGTATCTAAGGCACGTATCCCTTCCGCCCGTCTTTTGAACCCCCTACTAACGCCCCCAGGCCACCCCTCGGCGAATCCGCTACTGCTGGCAATCGCTACCTACTACTGCTCATAAACGCGTTGGAAGACCCTCAAAAAGAGCCCGAACGGATACGATCTCCTCTATATACTTCTCCCAAGCCAGCGGTAGATGGGTTAAATTGACATTCAAATATTGTAGTCACACCAAACGCGTCCGGGATCGGATAATAATCCTTCCACCTATTTGTGTAATCATTCTTCTTCCACCATTCTACCAATTCTACCAATTCTACCAATTCCACCAATATGAACACATTTACCCTCGGTACCCTCGCACTCAGTTGAACAAGAGGAGGATCTACAACAGGCGAATGCGGAGAACACTGCGGAGAACATTGCGGAGACAGTCATCAGCAGCAGTGACACAACAGGCCTACTCTCCACGATCTCACACCAATCCACTCAGCCAGTGCAAGAGAAGTCACTACAGCAGGCGAATGCGGAGAACACTGCGGAGAAACCAAGCGGCAACAAGGCCCCCAGCACCAAGAACACGGCTCAGCTCTCCAAGATCCCACGTCATATGCTCTCCACGATTCCACATCAAATCATCACTCAGCAAGCGGAGAACACCACTGCAACTTAGCCTGTCATCCCCACTGCATTAAGGAGTAAGAGGAGGAACTACAACAGGCAAATGCGGAGAACACTGCGGAGAACACTACGGAGAACACTGCGGAGAAACCAAGCGGCAACAAGGCCACCATCGTCAAGAACACGGCTCAGCTCTCCAAGATCCCACGTCATATGCTCTCCACGGTTCCACATCAAATCATCACTCAGTAAGCGGAGAACACCACTGCAACTTGGCCTGTCATCCCCACTGCATTGATATGGTATATCACTGCAATAACGTCACAAGAGGAGGATCTACTGCGACGATCACAGCCAATTAGGCCTCTATAGAAGGAATATCGAACGATGCATATTTGGACGAATTGAAACCGTCCGATGTCTACAGCTATTTCATTATTCGAAAGATTTCACTACGGCAGGAGATATTGTGGGATTCACACCACTAATTGGCATGTTGTCTCCATTTCTTTCCGGTATTTCGATACTTCTTGCCATAAGGACATGGCCTTTCTCTGTTTTTTGTGGGCAATTATTACGGATCAATCCTCCACACTCGATATACCTTCCTAATTAGGCCTTAGCGCGCCTCTCTCCGCACATATATGCCTGTATATCACATAGATTAAATCAATTTTGTAGTGGTGGAAGTACTCGTGCTATCCAGGAGTGAGTTACCTCGCTTAGTAGCGCCGGGAGAGCTGACCAATCAAATTACTCAGTTCTCCGCAAAAATCGTAGTTTGATTGGTCAACTCTCCCGGCGCTATTAAGCGAGGTAACTCACTCCTGGACAGCACGAGTAGGTCAAAAACGCACAGCAAGCGATCAGAGTTCGATTTTACTTAGGGCTAGGGCTAAAATTCGATTTGACTTAGAAAAATCCAACTCTATGAATTTAATTCATGGGCCTTTACTTGTTCTATTATATATACAGAGGTCTGCACCGAAAGTCCTGCACCCGCCAAGACTCTTGCGCTCAGACTTCGGATAACGTCCTATCTAAAGGGTTACCTAGATAATACGTCTAAAGTTCTTCGGAATCGCACCTAGCCCTAGCCAGGTTTCGGGGCTTACTACCCCTATCAAGGCTAAAAGAAGTACCTTAAGTCCCATCATGCGCTGTGAGAAGATATTTTTAGGCTTCCCCTCTACAGGGCCGCTTTCCGAAAGTAGGGTTAGGGCTGCACTAGTGCGGGTGCAGGACTTTCGGTGCAGACCTCTGTGTAATGGGGATGATAGGCCAAGTTGCAGTGGTGTTCTCCGCTTGCTGAGTGATGATTTGATGTGGAACCGTGGAGAGCATGTGACGTGGGATCTTGGAGAGCTGAGTTGTATTCTTGATGATGGTGGCCTTATTGCCGCTTGATTTCTCCGCAGTGTTCTCCGCAGTGTTTTCCGCAGTGTTCTCCGCAGTGTTCTCCGCAGTGTTCTCCGCAGTGTTCTCCGCATTTGCCTATTATAGTTCCTCCTCTTGCTCCTCAATGTAGTGGGGATGACAGGCCAAGTTACAGTGGTGTTCTCCGCTTGCTAAATAATGATTTGATATAGAATCGTAGAGAGCATATAACGTGGGATCTTGAAGAGCTGAGCCGTGTTCTTGACGATGGTAGCCTTATTACCGCTTGGTTTCTCCGTAGTGTTCTCCGCAGTATTCCCCACATTCGCCTATTGTAATTCCTTCTCTTACTTCTTCTCTTATTCGATAACCTTCCGGAGCTAATGTAACAAATCTACCGAGAATACTCCGAATATCCACAACGCGTCTTTTTTCTTTTTTTCTTTATTATCTAACTAATTATAGTTTAATATATCTAAAATTACTACTCTACTTATTTCTAATTAAAACGAATTAGATAAAGTCTTAAAGCGTTAGAAACGAGTTACTTAGATCGAGGCTAGAAAGAAATACTTAAATTAACGTAATAATCTACTCGAGCGTATCTTATTACTTTTAGAATATTAATTATTAATAATTAACTATCATTTAGCTATTAATTATCTTTCTAATAATATAGAAATATATTTATATTTAATATTTTATCTTATATAAACTAGTACTATTTAGAAAAAACTCTATAAAAATATTAATTTAAATATCTCTATATAGAAGAATTTAAACTCTAATTAAAAGCTTATAAATATTTCGAAGTTTAAAATCTTTATCGCTATTATTATATATATAAAAATCTTTTACTTTTCTATTATATATAACTACTAAAGAACTAATAAAATTACTTCGATAGCTTTTATTCTTACTAGAAAGATATCTTGAAATCGCTATTATCTACTTAGAAAATATATTTATTACTTCGACTCTTATAAAGAGAATTCTTTTATTATTAATTAAAGTAGATGAAAGTAGTTTATATAATATAAGAAGCTTATATTATTTATAGATAAAATTCGAAAAAATTAAAAGACTCTTCGGATTTTCTCTTCTTATATAATAATTAACGAAAGTATAATATAAGAGATAGAGCGTATATTTTATTCTATTTAGACTTTAAATAAGTTAATTTTAAAGAAATATAAATTATTTATAATAGAGAATAAAAAATATCTTTATAATTATACTTAATATTTCTCTAAGTAAGATCTAGAGAGTAAATTAAAAGTTAAGAATCTTGGAGAAATATTAGTAATAGTATTTAAACTAACTATCGAAATACTTTCCTCGAATACTATTCTCTTTATAAATAACTATTTTACGAAATCGAAGCTGGCTATAGCTCTAAAAGCTAGAGAGATTATAATATACGAAACTATAAAGTATAATTAAACGAATCTTTTAAAATTACTTATAGAAATAAAGAAGATCTTTATAAAGAATATTCTTTATAAAGTTATAAGGTAGTAAGGTCTCTTTTAATAAAACTGCGTAGTAGCTATATAATTACGAGGTCTAGATATATAGTTAATAGAATAAATAGATTAGTTATTAGATAAATTAATAACTAAAAAAAAAAGAAGAGAAAAGAAAACTCACAAGTATTTAAGACTTTATTAAGTATATTAAATACTCGTCTTAGCTATATAGCTTATAGCCTAGTAAGCGATATAAGCGAGCTTATTAATTCGCTCTAAGTACTTCTACTCTTATAATTATATCCTCTCTTAGAAGATTTAGCTTTTAAGTCTTATTATTATTACGTCTAATAATTAAATACTTACGAATTTATTAATCTTTTATATATTATTTATTATTAGTTTAAACGTAGTTTAAACTAACGTATACTATAATAGCGTATTTAAATTTCTTATTCTAAAATCTTCTTAAGTATATTATTATATTTATATACTAAATCGCGATAGCATTACTATATACATTATTATCTTAATTAATAGAATATAGATATATTGCTATCTTATTATAATATACTATTATTACTATTATTATACGCTATTATTATTATTATTACTTTAATAATCGTAATAATCTTATTATTATAATCGTAAAAGTCGCGCTAATAAGTATAAAAGTCTTATTTCTAGTCTAACTTTTATTCTTTTTAGTAATAATATTAATATCGACGCTATTATAAGTAAGTGTCTAGTCTTTCTTCATATCTACTATCTTATCTTTATTTATTTCTATCGCAATATCGTAATAGCGAGCTACGCATTATTATAATAATATAATATATATATCGATTAAGATAATAGTTAAATAAGGTTATAGTTATTTAGATTAACTTTATATATAATAAGTATCTTAAAGAATACTTTATAATACTTTATAAATAGTATAAGAAGTATATTAATATATTAATAGTAATATTAAATCTTCGCTCTCGTAGCTCTACGAGTTATTAAATGCTCGTGGCTGTTATTATTTTTACGCCTCGCGCTATTATTAATAGGCATTTATATTCGTTTTAAAGACGTGCTTAACTAAGAAGGCTATTAGCCCCCTTGTCGCTACTTCCGTTATTACTCCCCTTACTACTTTTATCGCTACTTTCGTCGTTACTTCTATTGCTACTCCGAACGTTATTTATAAGTAGAAGAGATATTAGATAACTAAGAGGTTACGCTAACGCGTGCTAGTCTCTTTTTGTTATTATTATATATATACTCTCGCACATAATCTTTATACGATTTATATTATACTTTCTACTGGCTCGCGCCAGTGTAAGTATAAGCGATACTTCCGCGGAGGTTATATATGCGTTATAGACTCGATCTCTATCTATCAGATAAATATTCTCGTTACGACCCGCATTAATAAGGATATTCATACTACCCTTCGCTATTAAACTGGTATAAATTTTACTAATATATATTAGAGTGCGTAGCTAATATATATAGCGGCTCACTGTGTCAAGAAACTTTAACGCAACGTCGCCGTCTTCGCCCCTTCTTCGACTACTCCTCTCGCTACTCTTTATACTAAGTCTTCTTATTATCTAATAAATTTTCTAAATAAATAGTTATTTTTTAATATAAGATAATAGATAGATTAATACTAAGTAGTAATAGTCTTATATATAATTTTAATAGTTATTTTTCTTATTATATATAGCGTCTCGGCGCTTTAAGATCGGCTTATAGATATTTTAGCTATTTTCGCTAGGCCTTTTAGCTATAACTTATTTACTCTTTAAGACTTTTATATTATTACTACTTTCGCGATTTTTCTTACTTCTTAATTTCTCTTAACGATTATATCTTTAATTTTATTCTAGATATTAATTTATATAATTCCTTTACTTACTCGAAGTCCTTAATTATATCTTTAATATTTTCGAGATATTTTATTAATTCCTATGAAGCTTTATAAGATAAAGAGTCTTTTTAGTTAATAAGGTATTTAGTTTCGCTCTTACGAACTCTTTTATCTAGCATCTTATTAATCTTTTATTCTTCTTTCTTATTAATTAAGATTACTTATAACTCTAGATTATTATTACGCGAGTATTACGATTCTAATAGCGATATATAAAATATAGAATAAATTCTTTTATATCTAGTAGAGAGATTTAGCTTATAAGTCTATATATCTATTTTCTCT